TATTTACATTGATGTACTATTTTAAGATGTCCCAAATCACTATAATAATCATCATCACCATCATTATAATCTCATTTTACACAACTATTCCATGATTATCCCTGTGACACTTGACCATGTATATAAATTTATACAAGGTTTAAAGACAGTTGATTTTTTTTTTTATAGTAGACAGGGAAGGATTATTGTGAAGAAAATACTTTAAAAATTATTTGCTCATTAATCTCTTTGAATATTTCCTCCAACTGAGTTATTTTAATTGATTTCCATTTTCAGAAAATTTCCTAGTTACATAAGGGGTTCATTCATGTTTAACTTTGGCTAACTATAAAATCACTCTAACAGAACTTCATTAGAAGTTCCTGACTCACATTGTATGGTCTTAAATAGAATATTTTGAAATATAAAGTATTTTCACTTTTCCTCATGTGATCCCTAGAAAGGCCTTGAGTACTTTCTAGATATTTCTTTTTTTTAAAAAAAAAAGATTTTATTTATTTATTTGAGAGAGAGAGAGAGAATGAGAGATAGAGAGCACATGAGAGGAAAGAGGGTCAGAGGGAGAAGCAGACTCCCTGCTGAGCAGGGAGCCCGACGTGGGACTTGATCCTGGGACTCCAGGATCATGACCTGAGCCAAAGGCAGTCGCTTTACCAACTGAGCCACCCAGACGCCCCACTTTCTAGATATTTCTAATAACACTTTAGAGTCCAGTGCTGAGTCAATAAAGTCTGGTATTAGAGCATGCAATTTGGATTTTAATGATCTAATGTTCCTTAAATAATAGATAATTCCTTAAGTAATAAATAACTCCCTAAAATTATTTATTTATTTATTTATTTCTCCCCTTCATGGGGATTTATGGGGATTTCAAGTTGGAAAGGAGGGGAAAAGACTAAATTTTCCCAGAATTGGGAAAAAGAAGTTTCCTCAACAGTTCTCTTAGATATCAGTCAAAGCCCTTAGTATGAGCATATCTTCCATTTAACCCTGGTCCTAGACCTAAAGAGGTCTTGATTTCAGATCATCATTTCTTTGCTGAAAAGGCAAGTTAACCATGTCATTTTTTACAATTTGACTAAAGTACATTCATAACAGTCCTCAATCTTGAACCTTTGCACTCTGAATTATAAATCTTCTGTCTAAAGAATGGGGAGGGTATGTGCTATGGTGAATGCTATGAATTGTGTAAGACTGTTGAATCACAGACCTGTACCCCTGAAACAAATAATGCATTATCTGTTAATAAAAATAAATTAAGAAAGAAAGAAAGAAAGAAAGAAAGAAAGAAAGAAAGAAAGAAAGAAAGAAAGAAAGAAAGAAAGACTTCACGTATCACTAAATTGCTAATGAGCTATAGTGAACGACATACTTTTGGTCAAAAGACCCTATTTCTTGTCACTGAAATTGTACTCAACTGAATGAGAATGTGGTTTGAGGATAATCACTTGAATAGAAAAAAAAGAAGGAAAGGAATACATCAAGATATTAGCAGATTTATGTGAATGAAGGTATTCTGGGGGGGGTTAATTTTTTTCAATTTCTTTTTAAATTTCCAAACATATTATCAAGTTTAAAAAAATTAAACAACATGATAAATTACATTAGCCTTATGTTTACCATAAAGCTTTTATAACATTTTATAATAGCATTCTCAGATAAGTTTGGGAAATATGGGGGTAAACAAGTTTGATCACATTTATTTAAAACATGATTTCTTCGAGACACTGGCATGCTAATTTTCGTGATGAGTCTTCCAGAGACAGACATAATAAGCAGAATTTTTCAGCAATGGAAACTGGCCACTCACAAACAGCTGATGACAAATCAAAGAAAACTGTTTGGGTATGTGGCAAGGAAAATATATTAGAGGGAAAAATACAGAAAGTGTTGTTCCCTTTCTCTAATTATCTTATCCCAAGTTCCAGATGGTTTCCTGGATCTTATTTCGCCCTCCTCCTTCCTCTTCTGGTGCCATGACCCACCTCTTCCACTTAGTAGTTGAGTGTCCCCGCACCTTCCCCACCCCCACCAGGCAACCTTCAGTTTGGTGACTTAGACATTTTTCTACCTTAACGTTAGGGTTTGTGAATATGTTTGGAGGAGAAACAGAATGAACAGAGAGCAAAAATCAGAAATTCTTTAAGAATATCTGTATGATTAGAGTATGTGGTGAAAAGGTCATCTGAAGGACTCAGGTGAGGGCTTTCAGTCAGGGTACATGCCTTGGAATATTAAAATGGTGACTTTTGGGAAATATCAGAGGGAGATAACTAGTAGAAAATAAGGTCAAGCACTTGAAGATGATGAACTGCTATGGTAAATATACTTAGGGGCAAGGATAGATAAAGGATTAAAGAAACAGACTTTTAAAATGTGATTATAGCCATTTGTGTGAACTGCTTTGCCTTTATGCCTAATCTTTCTATATGGCACACTAAAAATTATGTGTGGCAATAAATGTGTATAAACTTAACCATGCTCTACATTCTATTTTATTGGTACAGTAATCTTTATAAATAGGTTTTTTGGTCTTTATAGTTTGTTAGTTATGTAGCATCATCATTTACTAACAATTTAAAAATGGCAGAGGGAAATAGCCCATATATTTGGCAAGTGGATATCTCACTTCTTTAGAGCACTTTATCATGATAGATAAAACAGATTGGTTGCTCCTAAAACATCTGCTAAGCCAGTTTTTGTAAAGCTAGCTACCTTGCAGAGTTACCTTGAAGTGCAGAAATTATGCCTTCCCCACAATCAAGAAATAGATAATGGTGATAAAGGAGTTCAGGAAAGCTGCCCTACACTGCCAAGCACTTGCAAATATGCAGACAGGGATTCATACCTATTTCCCAAATGAACATACACTTAATAGTAGATCCCTGCCACAAAAATAAAAATGAAAGAATGTACATAACTTTAATTCTGTAGATGTTACCCAGATCTATAAGATAGTCACCGTAAGTCCCACAGTTTATAATCTGCAGAGAATGAAAACTCAACCTTAGAAACAAAATTAGGTTGAGTCAACCACTTAGAAAAGTAAATAAAATAACAGGAGGACCCAACTATTTCAAGATTTATGTAGAAAGAAAATACAGATATTAATTTGATCACATAACATAGGGTGCTTTTAATTGCAAAAAAAATCTATGTAAATAATAAGAATCAAAATTATTTCCAATAAGGAGCATACCTTGGGACACTAGGACTTAGGATGAAAACAGGCCCAATTCTCTATTATCTGCTCTTTTTGTGCCTTTTTCATGGCAATAAGTGCATGTTTTTTTCATATCAAAGTCTGCTGTGCTTGAACTAGAAAGGAAAATGCTGAAAGAGAAAGGACAAAAACGAGCTCAATTAATAAGATAAATCCTAGCTTTTGGGAATAGATAGCATGCAGTTTCTTTTTATTATTGTTTTAATTGAAAGTCAGTCCTGGCATTCTAATAGTGTGAGCTCTAGATGGAGTCTTAAGAAATAGCAGATGTTTAAACTAAGAAAAAGAGCTAGTCGAGTAAAGAATACATATGGAGAGAGGGTGCAGAAGAGAAAGAGAGATGTGAGCGCTGGGAAACTGACTGCAGAAGGGGAGGGAATGGAGACAGCCAGAAGAAACCAGTGGTTACTCCAGCTAAGACATTGCTAACGGCTGTTCCTTTCAAGCTGTATAGTTGCCGTAGAACATTAACACTGACGTTGGAAGGAAGTGAGATCTAAAAACACAGCTCTATTTTCTTTCTTTCAAACTATGTCCTCCATTTTCAAGTTTTTAAAGAGTAAATCTCAGACGATTCTTACGTCAAGGGGCTTAGTTAAGCATTTTTGGAGCCAATGAAATTGTTAGAAAAAAAAGGAAGAAAAGAAAGGGGGGGGGGAGGGAAATGAGCCAAAAAATATTGTATTGGTTATCGAAGGGGTTATCTCTACCTCCAAATTATATTCTCATTTGTGGTACACATTATGGGCAGTATATAACAAGACCTTCTTGAGAGAAATTTATACTGAAAGTATTAACTGTTTACAGGTGAATTGCTGAGAGATAAAATTCTTGATTTTCAAAAGAATTCATTACTGCATATATTGGATCATCTTTTTAATGCCCTACCTCAGAGATATAAATGTCCTGATAAATAAAATGAATTGCTTAAGATACTGGACCATTATTTCTCAGAGCTACAGTTTAAAATTACAAAGCCATCCTTTTGATTCTCACCTCTAAACAAATCGTGTCCTTTTGTGAAAGCAACATTTTTCTATCTTTTTTTTTGGGGGGGGGTGACTGAATTTCCTTGAAAATGCCTCTGTTGTCACCAGACTACAATGAATATGTTTTATTGGTTGATATATATGCCTCAGAGACTAATAAAATAAAATCACATTGAACTTGAAATGGAGTCTATTAAATGAACTTTTGCTGTGCCATAATATATTCTTCTTATCCTCAAAATTGAAAATATTTATATAGGTTGTCAGCTTTTTCCCAGGGAGTAATTTGGATAATCCAGTTATGATTTAGTGCCAGAAAGCATCATTTACAAAACATACCCTTTAGTCCTTAAAGAGTTAATAAAGCTTGCCACAGTATACCATATACTTCCCAAGAGTATCCTAAATACCTGGAGGATCTGGTGAGCTCTGTAAGAATATTTAAGCTTAAATGACACCCATATACTAACATATTTTTTTATTACAATGTGGAGTGGCTTGGTATCATTTAGGAAATTGTGCCCATTCTTGAGGAATTCATTAAGCAGCAGCTGACTTCATAAAGTCTGCCTCCCAAAGTGGCATATTTAGGCTCTGTTCTCCATTGAAAAATATTAACTGTGAAATTTCATGTGTAAGCAGTAAATTATCAGGACTACACAGTGGACCAATTTTAGAAATAGCTAATCAAAGCCAATAAATTTCCCATTTGGGTGTGAGTATGTGGTAGTGAGATCTAATAAGGACTGTTGGTAGACATTCACTGTCCCAATTTCCTGCTTCATCAGAGCGTGTAACTGAAGTGAAGACCGACATCTTCGTCACCAGTTTTGGACCTGTTTCAGACCATGATATGGTAAGTGACACTGCGTTTTTGGTTTTCTTGGTATATTTTCTAAATTTAGCTTTTGAAAGGAAATTACAGACCAGGTATTTAGAGAGCAACTTGAAATAGCTTGGCTATACCTTTTTGTCTTTCTGTATGCATAATATGTAATATATACTAATACATAAAATTTATATAATAGACAATACCCACTTACTTTCCAGACCAAACCTATTTATGATATCAACCACTGCAGACTTCTTTTTTTCCATCCCTGAAATGATTGCTTCACCTTGGTTTATGTTCTGTAAGCCAAATAGTATGATCTGCCTTACATTTTATTTAGGAGGGCATGTTGATTCAAAGATGCTAGGTCTCAAGATAACCAGCACTCATATAGAATAGCCATGAACATCATGATTTCTGAATTATTCTTGGCTAAAAAGGGGATGTGAGTGTAAAAGCTGAGTGAATACTTGACCAGAATTAGACAGAGAAATAGTTAAACACACCGATGGGAAATGTTCAGCTTCACTGCAAAAGAAATTCATTAAATTAGTACCAAGAATGAAAATAAAATTAATACATACCTGTTCTTTCTTTTCCCAACCCAATAAGTTAACATGAATTTCTCTTCTATTTGATGGGAATTGGTAAAAGAGTAGAGCTCTGTTGTAATATTTGTGTACTCATAATAGCCAAGCTCCTATATAATCAAAAAAATCATAAAGAGGCCATGAAGACACACCGTTATGAAATATTTCAAAGATATATTTATTGAATATTATTTTTAAAATGCCTTTTTGTTGACACCATCTGTACATAAAATCCTCTGACTTCATAATAGTTTGAGAATAAAAGTTACAGAAAATACCAGTTTGGACCAGCATTTCTCAAAGTGTGGAAATTCTCAAGTGTACCCACTTTGGCAGAGTAAAATCTCTGACAAGTCCTGAAGTAAGGAAACCTGTTTACATTTAATCTAGTGTTTTCCAATCATATTTGTCCAAAACCTTTTATGCGATACCTGTTGACATTCTGTAGAGCTAGTACTCTGTGAGTCAAACACTGGGAAATGCTGTATCAAGATAATTAGATGGTCTAGATCTTAACACAGGTTATGAAATGTAGTGACTATGCCAATTAAAATCAGCAGAACATAAGAGAGTGGTAGGTAAGAATACAGATTTCCGAACCAGAATGCTGCCTTGGTTTATAATCCCACGTTCTGCTCTTATAAAGCTGTATTGTTGGGGAAGTTCCTTAATATCTCTTTGCTTCAGTTTCTTCATGTGTAAGATGGGAGTGATGATAATACCTCATGGGGTTTTCTTCATGTGTGAGATGGGAGTGATGATAATACCTCATGGGGTTTTCTTCATGTGTGAGATGGGAGTGATGATAATACCTCATGGGGTTATCACAAGTATTAAATAAATTCATACATGAAAAGCATTTAAAAGTTCTTAGCATATAGGAAGCACTCAATGTATGTCAGCCATTATTACTATGCAAGAAATAGAGATATAAGAATTAGCCATAATTGTGGATTTATTCCTTTGGCAACTTATTACAGTGGTTGATCTGTAGTTCACTTTCTTGAAATATTGTTATACACTATTTTTTGCTAAACTGATCACTCTGAGGACCTCTTGTGATTCTCCCATGTTGGAACTCTGTCTTACAACACTATTCTCTCATGCTACTTTTCTAATTAAGAACATTTAATAGAGCCCAGTCAGGTTTAAGGTCAAATTTAAACTCCTCTGCCTGTATTTCATATAGTCCACAGATGATGTTACCATTTGTCCTCATTTGTTCCTAATATTGACTATTTACTTTAGTCGTTTGCTTAAGTACTACTTTCTGTGAAGCCATACCACTTGGAGGTGAGCTGAACTTGTCTAGGATCCAGGCTGGCTGAATTCACACCTCACCACTACCAATAGCATCACCTTGGGCAAATCACTTACATGTGTAAGCCTCAAAGTCTCTAAAATTGGTATATTATTATAATTGCCTCTCCTTGTAAGATAGTTAGGAATTTTAAATGAGCTATGTAAATAAAGTGTTTATAGATAGCACTCAATAAATAATAATTATTATTATTTTTGTCTCTGAACTCCTTATCATGCTATTCCCTTCATGGAAAATTCCCTCTATTTCCCACCCATCTGAATCCTACATTTCCATAAAGGCCCAAATCAAGACCCAAAAGCTTAATGGAAACCTTTTTTTATTAATCCGATAATGGATTAAGTTTCCCTTTCTGTATTCTAGTCACATTTATTGACTGTAAAATAACAACTTAGCTTTTGGCCTCATTATAACACTGCTTTGTGAAGTTATTTCTCTTATATAAATGTCTTATTTTCCTAAAGTAACGCCAAAAAAATGTAAAGACATTTGTTTCACATCCCTCACAGTATCAGCACATTGCTGGCTTATAGTAAGTGTTGAATTAGTACTTATTTAGTGATAGGTTTAGGAGTCTATATTGACTTTAAAAACATAAAGTCTTATGGGACTCAATAAATAATACCCTCTTTCCTGAGTTCCAAACCTTCCGAGAAATAAGATAATAGAATAAGGGATTTGGAAAGTGAGAATATCATCTTTATTACTAATAATTATGGCCCTGCAGAAGGTGGTATATATCTGTAGATATGTGAGTTTTCAGAGAATAAATATCAGAATCAGTCAGATTAACCCACCCAGTCACCTGGCAAGACTTTGGCCTCCCTCTGTTAGGGCAGAGACTGTCCATATAAAACTTCTAGCATGGAAAAACATCAGAAATTGTGAGTCTTGTGGACAGTGCAGCAGGAAGAGGCTGAGATAGGCAAGATTGATTTCTCCTTCCATATTTACCCATCAAATGAAATTATTCTTCTCTCTTCCCCTCCCTAAATAGAGAAGTATGAGGGACTGGAGAGCATTCAGAAGTTTTGCACTGGTGAAGCTCTCTTCTCATAAAGGGAAACATCGAGAGGGATGAAGCATTACAAACATCACACACTGATAATGATATTATTCCTCCTCCTCATTATCATTATCATCATCGTAATTAAAAATGAATATTCTCTATCGCTGGCATCTTTCATATTGCCTCACAAAGGCTAGATGCTCAGTAGGAGTTGTTACGGGACAGTGCTCAAATAAAGGCACATTTTCTCTTGAAAATATTTGGTATACCTTTGAGTTATTGGTTTAGATTGTCATTTAAAAAAACTGATTTTTTTTTGTCTTGGACTAAAGGTGTACGTTGGGATTTTTGATACATCATTAAGCCTATGATTATCGTGAATTACTTTTCATAAATGGCCTTTGGTCAAATATCACATAGGAAGAAGGAACAGAGTGTCTAAGCCAGTTATACTCCCTGTTGCCTAAAATTCCTGAATGAGATAATGTTTGAATTGTTCTGTCAGAGGACCAAATTAGCCCTGCCTACAACTGATATGCTGAGTGGCTAGTGGAAATTATACCTGGCCAATTCATTTAAGGTTACTCATTTAAACCACATTATGGGTGAATTACACATAAAGAGCAGTATGATTTAGAGTCTATCAAAATCAGGCCAATGACAAAGCTATTTTTCAAGGCAAGGAAAACTTTGTAGTTTTTAAAAGTGAGAACTAGTAAAATATCTAATAAGGATAACCATAATAACAGAATTCAATAGTATTGAATGCTTACAATATGTGAAGCACCATGCTAATAGGTTTATAGATCATATTTCATCTAGTACCCGTACCATGATTTTAGCTAGGCATTATCATTATCCGTATTTTCCAGAGGGGGAAAGTGACCTAGCTAGGTAGCAACTTGAACTCAGGCTGTGTGTCCCTAGAGGTTCCACAGCTCCCAAGGCATCTGACTTCATCTGGAATAGAAAACAAAATTAGGACAACTCCTTAACTTTATTTTAAAAACCATTAATTGGCAATCAAACGGCACATTCCCAGGGCACTAGGTTCTGACAGAAATATCCAGGCAGCACAGTCACAGAGCCCTGTTTTCCATGGTGCTTAAAATGTATGAAGTCAAAGCACACACAGATGGTAATAGATGGTGCAAGTGGGAACACTTCAATACAGTATTTATTTAGGAACATAACGGATGTTTTGTCCCAGTCTTCAGAGTAAGACTCACATTCTCCAGCAACCTACTCTATTGAACAGGGGACCGTGGAGAGACATCTCACTTGAATGGTGGGGGCTGGCACGCTGAACCTTGAACAACATCTTCGCCAGAGCTTCCTACTTGTTCAGACAGTGTTCTGTAGGGTCTTTTCCTTTGCCTTCTGATTTTACTTTGCTTGGTTATGAGCACCTCACTTTCCTGAGGTTTCCTATCCTGCTACCAGTCCAAACAAAGAGCAACTTTTCTCATTCCCAGCTACATCGGAATCTGATAGAAATTTGTGTTGCTAAAGCAAAGAAATGGGGAGACAAATAACTTCTAATGTTTACTGAGAACTTCCCATGTTTCAGACATTCTGGCAAGCTGTTCACTTGCATTATTAACTCACTTCTCACAATAGGCAAGTGAAATCACTACTGCATGATCCCCGCTTTATAGAGTGGAAACTGGAGTTTAGAAAGGTCAGAAAATGACTTGAAGTTACACATCTGGCAGACAAACAATTTAGCTCCAGTTAGCAGGGGTAGAACTTATATCCATAACCGTCACGTTATGGCTCTGCTCTCCTCCCCTTATTCCAGTTTCTTGAAGAGGGAGCTCTGGCCCATGTCAGCCTAGTGCGCTATGACCCCCAGGGTAAGGTCATGCAGAGAACCTCCGGGTACTACCATGGCAATGTTGCAGGGGCAGTTCTCAGAAAATGGGAGACCAAATACTTACACTCTTGGTTAGACAGTATCTGATCATTATCAAGTGTTTTTATTTCAGTTTTCATTTCCACTTCTAGCTGAAGGGAACATGGAAATGAAAGCTTATCCAGTTACTTTTGCAGGGTGTGTGTGTGCCTGCTTGTGTGGCCAGTACAGTATTTGAAGGGAGAATATCATAAATGAATTTGGGGATTTCAATGTCTGCCATTTAGCACCAGTAAGTAAAGCTGGTTGTAAACATGACAAATACATAAACATGAGGAATTTGGCAAGTTTTGACATAATTTTTGGAATCATTGACTTTGGGGTGTATCTATTATGACTTGATAATAAATATATTTTAAGGTTTTTAAAATATTTGACATTTATTTCATTTTCAAAAATCTCCTTGGAGCAAGTAAACAAATGAACAAAATAAAATTTTGGGGTTCATAGGAATATGGTCAGTTGGGCATCTTGATTTACAAGTGACTATTCCCTCTACTGTTTGACAGGCTAAAGTAGTTCAGTTGGACAGAAAATAGAGCTTATGTGGCTGATTCCTGAGTAATAGAAATATCCCGATTATCATATCCCTATCTCGTAAGCCTGTCGTCCGGAGAAGAGAACACACACAGCTCAGGGTAAATCCATCCATTTGCTTCCCTGGCAAGCACTGCTACTCTGAATCACTTCCCAATGTAGTCTATAGGCTCCCTCCCCATCTCTCTCCTCATGGAAAATATCATTGTATGCCCATCTTACTCCATGAGTTTTCCGTACAGCATCCAAGTTTAAACAGTTTCTCCCTCTGCTAAATTTAGAGATGCTTAACAAATGGTTCCTGGTATGTAAATTCCTATCTCTTGTATCTCAGTGCGTTTTCACCTCACACTTCCAGACACAGAAAATTACCTAAACAACAAATAAGGTAGTTTCTCTTGCCCATAAATATAAACTGGCATCATGTTACACTTCCTTGTTGCTGCTCTCTCAATCGACATTTAGCACTATGCCTGGTACACTGTAAACTATCCAATGATAATACTAGTTACTGGATCAGAAGGGCTCAGCTATATCAAACGTGTGGCAGAAGGATAAACCTTTATCCAATCTTTACCTAATCTTACATAAAGCCTGAGAAAAAGACAGGTAGTTAAGCTCATGCACAAAATGCCTAGACACAGATATTATTTTTTATGCATGTTCTAAAGATGATATGTATAAGATTTAAAAAAAAAAAAAAAACAACAGCTTTCTAATGCATCAGAGTTTAGGGGATTAAGAAAATGTAGCATGATGTTTTCAAGTTAGTCTTCCTTCCAGTTTGGAGCATGCTAAGATTAATGGAGAATGTGGTAATCTTTATTTCAAACCATTAAGTTCCAAATTTAGTGTCAGTGTAGCAAGTGCTGCAAGGAAGATGGATATTACCCTTTTCTGTTTTAGGAGCTGGTAAGTCACATTGCTTGTTTTCAGATTAGCAGATGTTTGTCTCTGGGTATTGCCATAAGGAATGCTGTGTTTATTCAAATAAATAGATTCCCTGGCTGTGAATGATGACGAGCTTCACACATTTCTCATGTGTCTTATACACACATATACTCAGATACACACTCACACACATACACACACACCCGCATATTCTACATTTGTTTTTTTTTTGGCGAAGATCCCAATTAACAGTGAAACAGATTATTTTCATAATCTTCTTTGTTGTGAAAAATTTAAAGTCTATATACATTATCTGTAAACAAAAAAAATTTTTTTTTTACTTAGCCAAAAAGGAGATGGGGTTATCACGCTAGTATTAGAACCATGGATGATTTGAAATTGACTGTGAGGTTTTCAGACTGTGGAAGGGCCCCCCAAAAGACTATGCTCTATCTTTGTAGCTGTCATTATCTAATTTAAACATTTAAACATATATATCTAGTAAGCTCCAGGGTGAGCTTTGTTTTAATGTGTACTGTATTCTATTTTTTTGAGTGCTAGTGTGGTAGAGGTGTAGGGAGTAGGGCATGATTTTCTTTTCACATATCTGAGGAGATAGTTGTGGAGTTTTTCTGACCAAGAAATATTTCAGACACTTTAGATATTTTCAAAAATGATTATGCTGACCACTGATTCACCTGAAACCAGTATGTACAGGCCACCACAAGTTTACTTCTGAAAACATCACCTAGCTCATATTTTGCTTTTAAAGTTGCAAAAAATAAGCATTGTCTGTGTAAGCTATTTGCATTGCAAAATACAGCTTAGTGAACTCTGCCATTTTCCAAAATTACCTAGGAATATACAATAGATGTATTTTTCCGTCAAAGCTGGAAGGATGAAAGATTAAAATTTAAAGGACCCATGACAGTTCTCCGGTTGAATAACCTAATGGCAAGTAAGATCTGGACTCCAGATACCTTTTTTCACAATGGAAAGAAGTCAGTGGCACACAACATGACCATGCCAAACAAACTCCTGAGGATCACAGAGGATGGCACCTTGTTGTACACCATGAGGTAAGGATGACTTCATTTCTATCTGTGATTCTTTCTGTACTTCTTTCTCTTCCATATATATGTGACCATGAAGCTGGTGGGCCACAGTGGAGCATCTGGTTTCCTGTTTGCCCTCTTTTTCAACCTTAATAATTACTCCGCTATGAAAAATAAACCAACTGAAGTCTTATGCAAGTATTAAAGCATTAAGTAAAATGATTAGATAAAGTGGGGGGGAGTTTATAATGTATATTAAGTAATATATCTCAAGTATCTCTCCAACATGCTCTAATTCAGTATGAGGAACTTCTTCCCCCTACTACTAACCTCATATATTCCTGCATCCCAATAAGGTCTAGATCAGATTTCTAGAAGCTATCTCAAGGTATGTATCCAAAAATGTTTCTACTTAAAAAGAAGGAGAAAAATCCAAAAAAATTAGAACAGTTCAAGTGTCATAAAAACCTTAGAATCATGTGGAAGTATACATTTAGGAGAAGTATATGAATTTATAATAACATTGTTAGAATGAGAATATAAATATTCTTAATTTTGTTTAAGTTGAAGAATATTTATATATATGAGTTATAGATAGATAGATAGAGAGAGATATTTCTGCTTTACAAATATTTCTCCCATTTTGAGATTATTGGAAAACCTGGCAGCTAGGTTTCTTCATTTATGGTTCAATGAAGCAAACATGAATCAAAAAACGTTGTTAATATTTTTAAAGAAAAAATGTTTAAAATATTCCTAATTTGTAAGCAATTAAAAATTGTCCACAACTCATTCTTAAGGGAAAAGTTATTTCATCCCCAAGAGACTTGTTAGAATGTTGTTTTTGTAGATCTGGACAGTACTTGGTAGTTCAGACTGTCCAAGTATTCCTTTGGCACAAAAAGGTAATGGAGGCAAAACCCTAGACTTGGTGGGTTTTGTTTAGTGTGGGAATATAGTGATCCTTTGCTTTTGAAGAAAGCTGCCAGAATTTCTACCTTTTTATACAAAATATCCAAATGAAAAAGAAAGGAAATAATGCCTCAAGAGCCGCTTCAGATGTTGGACTCAACTAATAGATATTTAATAGAATTAAAGAATGACAAATCTCAAAAAAAAAAAAGAGAGAGAGAGAAAATGGAGGATCAGTGGAGGAGACCTGTTGAGACCTTTCCAGATCATCCAAGTAGGACCCATTTATAAGTGAAACTTGAAACATCCTCCCCTTATAAAACACCCTACACTTGTTTTTGAGCCTAAGTTCAGTATTTGTTCCTCCCAGCTGGCAATGTTCTGGGGCAGGATTTGCACCTATTGAAAAGTTGATCAGTTCTTACTTTCTGATGCATGTAATGTTCTTCATCAGTAACTAGCCTGTTACTGCCCATCTCCTAAACTTATCTCCACCTTTGCTAATACAGCATCACTGTCCTTAATATTTTGATTTCAAAATGCAAGTTTGATCATTAATTTGCACATTTCATATTTGCTTTAATCACTTAATGAGTTTACTGGCTATAAAGCCATCCCTACCACATTTCTTGAGCTACTTAATAATATGGGTAAATATATTTTATAAAAACCAGGTGAGGAATTTGGTATAAATTCCCTCATAATTCCACCAAACAAAATCAAATATATTTCAGTGAATTATTTTCTTTACCCTTTTTCAAAATGTAAATAGAACTGAAGATAGGGACTAAAGAGAAGACTAGCAGAGTCCGCCTTCCATTAGGCAGTAAATTTGTATAAAATGAAATGGTTGGAATATAGTGAAATCACCCACAGACTCTCCTTTGCCTGTTCCTTTGTTGTTTTATGGGGACCGGTGCTGTTTTAAGGAAGGCGATGGGGAGAGCTGCCCTGAGGAGAGGAGACATCCTCTTCTCTCCATGTCTTCTACTCCACCAAGTCTTTATCCAAGTATTTATTTGCTTACATCTAGTTTTAGTCTCCAAAGATTTTCTGGGTCTAGGTGGCCTAGGTAGATTAGGTAATGATGCTTGTCTTGGGAAATATTACAAATGCTTGCCCATCATACAAAATCATACCTATTTTCTCAAAACAAACAAACGGATAGAATCCAGTCATTGTTGTAAATAATTCCTTTTAGATCTTTTGGTTAACAGCTCAGTATCATGCTGCAGTTTGTGCCTGCCTCTCTTGCTTTTCTTAATATATTTGCTATAGATAATAACATCCTGGTCGTATTTATCAGTAAGTGTCTAATCTATAGGGCTCTTGTTTATGTCTTCTGTTTTCCTTAATTGATAAGGCTGACGGTGAGAGCTGAGTGTCCAATGCATTTGGAGGACTTCCCTATGGATGCACATGCCTGTCCACTAAAATTTGGAAGCTGTGAGTAAATTTTTAATTTTGATTTTCTTTATTCTTATGAGAGACCTAAGCCTTTGTTTTTTTTTAAATATTTTATTCATTTATTTATTTGAGAGAGAGCAAGGTAGCAGGAAGAGGAACAGAGGGAGAGGGACAAGCAGATTCCAGGCTGAGTGCAGAGCCTGATGCGGGGCTCAATCTCAGGACTCTGAGATAATGACCCGAGCCAAAATCAAGAGTCAGATACTTAACTGACTGAGCCACCCAGGCACCCCTGAGACACCTAAGTCTTTAAGCAAGAAATTTCCAATTAGTAAAGTTTGTTAGGAGACAGATAAAAACCATGAAGAAAGTTTAGTGATTTGCTGCAAATACTTTCTAGGGGTGCCTGGATGGTTCAGTTGGTTAAGGTTAAGCTGAAGTTGCCTTCAGCTCAGGTCATGACCTCCAAGTCCTAGGATCAAGCCTGCATCAGGATTCCTGCTCAGTCTATTTTTCCCTCTCCCACTACCCCCTTCTATTCCCCCACTTCCACCTCCTTGTTCTCTCTCTCTCTCCTCTCCCTAAAATATATAAAATCTTTAAAAAGGTACTTTCTATAAGTAATAATCTTTTATTTCATTTTTAATGTTATTTCAGGAAGAGATTATTATGACAAAGAATGGATTTAATTAATTAGTGGAAAAATTCTACTTTTGTTAAAGCTGTATTCATAGAAAAAGCAAGTGGAGTACGGATGTTTTTACCCCATAGATAATATCTCCCTGCCAATAAATGGGAGATCACTGTACTTATTTTGTATCATTGCTGACATTTGTTTGACCTTAAGAATATTGCAAGTTGTTTATCAGATGGAAATATTGGTAGGTGCCAGCATTGGATGATAGTTGTTTCTTAATAATGAAGTCTACTCCTAAAAAAATATTGCCTGATGAGAATTTACCCTAATCAGAGTCTTTTGAAAAGTTCTAGATCTGTTTGGATATCCCATGAAATTCATGTGTGGTAATGCTTTTGAAGGTATCCTAGATAACTTTATGATAACTGTTGGGGCTTCTGCTATTTGAAACTAGGTAGGCACACATTAGAGGAGCCAAGAGAACAGTGGACAGCAGAGTCAGGTTCTCTGGTCTTCCTCTCCCCTTCTGCTTTGGACTAGTATGCATATATAAAGGGAGTGAGAACAATGTATTCCTGGTTTCCTGCAGAAGAGTTACTTACAAGGACTGCGTCAACTCCGGGACTACCTAGCCAGCTTTCTGTTCCCACTAGACAGACAGTCTAAGCAACTATTTTGGTGAAGATATGATTCATAGAAAAAAAAATAGTGGTGGTGTAGGAAGACAGCAAGCAAAGAAAATAGCAAAGGCCTTCAGGCTCCTAGCAGCACTAGTCATGGAGAGACAAGTTTATTTATAAATCTAATTCTATACTGAAACCCAAGGACAAACCACTTCAAAAATTGTCAGCCAAATGGGCTGTGGTGATAACTCCCTCATCCCCACTCTTTTCCCAATTTAATTTATATTCTATGTTACGGACTACTATGTTTTCTCCTGATTACCATTTCCATTCCTAACAATATTATGTATTATGTGTTACTTGTATGCTAGGCAGGATATTCAACATTTGTATGTGTATCAGTTCGTCTAATCTACAAAATAATCTTTTACTTAGGAAGATCATGCATTATAGTTTGCCTGGGGCAGTAATTATTTATGCCTAATATCCTTGTATAACTACTAATAGTGCCCCCTTTTCCCTCAGAAATACCTTGTTTTGGACAAAAAATTACTTGTTTAGTATACTAGTCAGGAAGGCTTCCAAGCAGTGAGTATAGCTAGCTGAAAAGAAGAAGGGTTTATATTTTTACATGAGATGAATGATGGTGATTGTTGGTTGATTGTTGGTTAGTCAGCATCTTAACGAGGATGATGTTTTAAGATGCCCTTATATGTTCTTCCTGATCACGAAATGGCTGCTGCAACTCCAGCCATTGCATCTGCTTTCAAAATAAAGAACAGTGCACTGACAAAGAAGAAAGAACCAGCACCTGTATCAAAAAGATAAAAGCTTTCCCTAAAATCCTAGCAGACATTTACTCACATCTCATTAATCAAAGATGTGTCTCATTGCCAATGCTAACTGCCAATGAGGCTGGGAAGAAATACTCTTAACTAGGCACATTGTCAGCCTGAAGAAAATAGGAAGTATTTTTAGGAAGGGGGAAATGGATAGCGAGTAGAAAACAAACAGTGTCTCATGTAAGAAAACTGAAGCTAAATAAAAACCTGCTTTCTACCTCAGAGCCTTTATATATGCTCTTTTCTCTACTTGGGTTACTCTTCCCTTGGTTCTCCATGTAACTGGCTTCTTTTATTTTTCACTTCTCAGCATAAATGTCATCTTCGGGAGCCTTCCCTAATGACCTTGTCTAAATTTACATACAGTCCTACCCATCTTCTTCATTATAATACATATTTAATTTAGATGTATTACAGCAATAATTATTAGTTTTATTTATTGGTTGACATTTTTATTGTCTGGAGACTGTAAACTCCCATGAGAGCACAGCCTATTTTGTTTAGCATTTCCTAGCACAGAGCCTAATATAATGTAGATACTTAATAAATATTTATTGAATAGATAAAAATTATAATAATCAGGTTTTAAATGCCCCTTCAATGTTTAAGTCTTAGAAAAGATAGCTTCAGAAAAGGATTTAAGACCTGTGGGGAATTAAACAGAGAAGATTTGACATTGAAAAGTAAGCATCTGAGCTCAGTGGGAGAGCACCATGACTAATTACCATCGCCTGCCATTGGCTTGAGAAGAAGCAGTAGTGGTTGATTTATTGTATAGTTAGTTCTCTGACCTGGCCTAATTAGCACACTTCTGAAATGAAGAAACTGAGGCAAAAGTGGGCTAAAAATGCATTGACCCGGTTTTTGAAGCAAACATCTTGCCAAAATCTCACAGAAGAAAATAAGCAAAAGATAAGCTAGAGGATTTTGTAATAATTTAGTAGAACACCCTGTAATAAATGTTTATGAAGAGAAGTCATCCAAATGTTGATAAGAACTAAACTCAGAAAAGCAGATTTTTCCTTACCACTTTCCATTAGACCACGATTGTCAATGTTATATCACACTTTTTGCTTATTGGGGAAAGAGCCCTCTTCATAAGGCCAGATAACCAGAAGACAATGTACATGATTTAGCTGACATCTTTTAACTCCTTTTTAAGGAAAATACAAATAAGGCTTTGATTCTAAAAGAAGAGATTCAGATGATATTCTGACAATAAGATCTAGGCAAGTGCTAGATCTAGTGCGGACTTGATAAATGATGGTTTCCTGACTGATAATCAAGCACAATGCCTTGTAAATAAGGAGGGAGGGATACATAGATATTTAAATGAATTCTGAATAATAAATAACTTTGGAAATTATTTAGTGCACCTGCTTCATACAAATGGAAAGACAAAAGCCCCTAAAGTGAAGTGATAGTGTCTATTAGCAGATGCTCTTCTGATACCAACTCTCGTGTTGTAGCACCACAAAGTTCTTTCATAAACCCAGCCAAGTATTCTTTTTAAATTTTTTTTCTGAAGTAATCTGCTGATTTATTTGAAATCTGAGCTTAGCATTTTGACTGAGTAGCTGAAGACTTTTTAACCTTATTTTCTTTATACTGAATTGTCTCAAATGAAGGAAGTAGTCATAGGACCTACTTTCTAGATATGAAGAAGTAAGGCATATCACCTGTTGTGATGCCTTAGGTATAGTTGTCTTCTACATCTTAAAACACCAACTTTATTTTTTAAGTTTTTACTTAAATTCCATTTAGTTAGTTGGGGCACCTGGGTGGCTCAATCTGTTGAGCATCTGCCTTCAGCTGAAATCATGGCCCCAGGGTCCTGGGATCAAGCCCCATATCAGGTTCCCTGCTCAGCAGGGAGTCTGCTTCTCTCTCTCCCACTGCCCCTCCCCCTGCTCATGCTCGTGCTCTTGCTCTCTCTCTCTTTCAAATAAATAAATAAATAAATAAATAAATAAATAAATAAATAAAATCTTTTAGAAAATAAATTCCAGTTAGCATACAGTGTAATATTTATTATTTTCAGGTGTACAATGTAGTCGATCTTTAAAACATCTGGTGCTCCTCACAACAAGTGCACTCCTTAATCCCCATCACCTAAACCATGTGGATCCACTCTGCATTTTGGGAGATTTCCATTGAGAGACATGAGCAATATGTAATCTCCACTTTCACAGAAATGCTGTGTTTATTGTAGATTTCGTACACAATGGAGTTTCTAAGAGATTGCAAGTGTGAGACATTGAATTATATGAAGTGAAAAGTGGATGGTAACAGTTTTTTTCCTCTAAAACCATATTAGCAGCCCGTTGGCAACACATGATGAGGTACAAAAAGGTAGAGTCCAGGCACTGTCCCTAATGATAGTGCAATACTGTAGCAAGAGTTTTTTTTATTTGTTACAAAATGACACAATCTCTAGAATTGGTTTCATCCCTAATTACTTGACCACCAAGAATCCTTGCTTGGATTTTGAGCATATAATATACAGTTTTTGCCTAAGAAATTCTTATTAATAGCATTAAGGGAGAATGAATGTCATTCTATGCTCTTACCTCAGTTTTCCCATTAAATTGCTATTTAAATATGTAAGACCTTAAATAGGCTATTCAGGGTTTCTCTGCTTCAGTTTATCATCTGTAAAATGAGACAAACTATATGACCTCTAAAGTCCTTCCATGTTAACAATCAGTGATTCTGTGTTACCATAAACTTGAGATGTTTTCCTAGGTAAGACACTCCCATTAAAAAAAGAAAAAAAATTACCATGATCGGAAAAATATTTTACTGAATATGGGTACCTACAAATTGTAAGCAATATGGTTCTTCTCAATCTAGTGTGCTCTGCACTTCTTTGAGGGATTTTTAAAAATAAGTCATGTTTTAGATGCTAACAAATGCAGTCCTCCTCCTTAACAAATGCAATGCTGAAACGATTCAAAATTTAAGTTAATGAGATGTGTTAACTCAATGGTAGGAATTATTTCACAATGTATATGTATATCAAATCTTCATGTTGTACACTTTAAATATCTTATAATTTTATTTGTCAATTTTACCTTAGTAAAGCTGCAGATAAATACATATATACACAAAAGTCAATGAGGACAGCCACAATTAAGAAATAAAAATCGATGAGAACAGGGCGCCTGGGTGGCTCAGTTGGTTAAGCGACTGTCTTCAGCTCAGGTCATGATCCTGGAGTCCCGGGATCGAGTCCCGCATCGGGCTCCCTGCTCAGCAGGGAGTCTGCTTCTCCCTCTGACCCTCTTCCCTCTCGTGCTCTCTCTCATGCTCTCTCTCTCAAATAAATAAATAAAATCTTTATAAAAAAAATCAATGAGAACAAATTCCAAAGCCACTCATTTATCAGTCTTACACATTTATGAAAGAAGCAGTAACCACTAACTTAATTCCTAGCATATTCTCTCAAACTTCTGAAAAAAATTGATTAAAAAGATACCTGATTGTAAATTGGTCCAGAAATGATGCTGGAGCACACCAGACACCCACATAAAATCAGGAGAATACTGACTACACTTTTCTGCAAAACTCATCCCAGAGACAAGAAGTTTTGGTTCAGAGAAGGAGGGGGATGGCTTTCATCTTTCTTATGGCAGCTCCACATGTGTGTAAAAATGCCACCATCACTTCACATCTCATAATGTTTTAGCTTGGAGAAATACATATTTGAACAAAACACTCAAGTTTGTTAGCTTGGGGTGGGCATTGGGTGAAGCAAGAATGTATTATGACTTTTACAGGCTCAAGGCACTTGTGTTTGTGAACAATTCCTCAAAAAATAGATTAAAACTGTATTTTAATTTATAATTTGATATTTTTAACTTTTATATTTTAGGTTAATATACTCCAAGCAGGGTTGTATTCACTTTTTTCTGACTTAAAAAAATAATAACACATTGCTTGGCCACCTAGAAGTATTGTGGACCCTGGACACTTTGTCTACTGTGCCTAATGCAGAAGTTGGCCAAGGGGTAAAGCTTTCACAGTAAAGCCAACTTTTGGTATCATATCTGCCTCTCAAACACCTTGGAAACTCTTTGCTTTTGCTAATGTGCTCTTCTTGTAATTTTTAATATCACCCTACATCTAAACCAAGGGAAGTATATACTATCATTCCATCCCCTGTGTAGTGGATGTTCTGTGACTAGAAACCAGAAAAGGTATGGAATCCCTTCTTCTTTTCCTTCTCACTCATTCTATACACCTCTTCCCCCAACCTTCCTGAGTTACAGATCATGTAGAAGGATGGCTAGGTTAAAAGTGACATGGCGAATGAAAATGATTGAGAAGTGTAATGAGCTAAGTGGTGAAACTCATCAATATCATTGTCGTGATAGTAAACGTCCATAAAAAGGAGAATTAATTTAAAAGGAAGTAAAGTCAGACTTCCCTTAAAAATGGATGCTTGGTAAAATTTCCAGTGTTATATTTCACATTGATCATGACCTTCCCCTGGCCTGACATAATCTGGACCCAGGCTCCTTCCGTATTTCATCTCTCATGTACTCAGCTTTAGCCACATTGCTATTCCTGTTCTTCCTCAAACTTATCAAGCTTTTACCTCAACCAGAGGAAGAAAGTTCTTTGCTCACCTATCCAGCAAACTCTTCCCCAAGACATACCCTACTCTCATTTCTGTCATGCATATAACTGTCATTTCCTTAAGAACCCTCTCTGAGTCCTTTACCTAAAATAGGCCCATGTCCTTCATTCTCTACCCTCTTAGCCTATTGTGTATGGCTTTACTGCATTTAACGCTACTTGAAATTATGTTTATTAGCTTGTCTGTTTTTGTCCCCATTACTGCCGTGCATGTTCCACAGCATCAGGGAAACTTGTTTGTTATGGATTTTTTTAGCAAGGTACTTTGTCTTTTGTAGGTGCTTAATAACCATTTGTTGTAAGAGTGAACAGATGACTGAACAAATCAGGAAAATGTGTTTTAATTTTCCTAAACTAAGGGATATGGACTCTTCTTTCTTGGCCTGCCCTCTGGAGCCATGAAATTGAAAATATGAAACTAATAGGACTCACCAGCTAATGAGGAGTACCAAAGTAGCGTGACACATGGGCCATTTTCTTTCCTGTCCTTCCAGATGCCTACACCAGAGCAGAAGTTGTTTATGAGTGGACAAGAGAGCCAGCACGCTCAGTGGTTGTAGCGGAAGATGGATCACGCCTAAACCAGTATGATCTTCTTGGGCAAACAGTAGATTCTGGAATTGTTCAATCTAGTACAGGTAAGTGCCAGTTGATTATTCCAGAGATGTCAGAAGAAATATAAACAGTTTTTGTGAGAATGTGAGAGAGAATTCAGTAAGTTCTACAATAACACAAATAGAGAGACAATTTGACTAACCTGAGACCAGTTAAGCTAGGAACTAGTGTAAACTCTATAGATTTGTGCCCTTGGATTCCTCATTTGATGTCTTTTGGCCTCTGTTTCTTTGTTTGCAAAATAAGATGCTAGTTCTATGTGATCAGGGAAGCAGAGTATTTAGAAATGTGAACTTTTGGGAAGAATGTATGGATTAAATTCTTACTCTTCTACCTTGCCTGTTGACTGTGGTCACCTCACAGAGTTATTGGAAGGCATAAATTCAATCCATGAAGAGTACTTATGATAGCTCTGGCACATAAAAAAACTCTCAATAAATGTTAGCTATTAATATCATCTAGGCCTAATTATTATAACGATTCAATGAATCTTGGTGAATTTGTAGCAGTGATCATTATACGTAAGATACCAAAAGAACTAGAGCAGATACTATTAAGCAGCTGGACCCAAAATTTTAAACTTTTGAAGTTGTTTCAAGAAATAAGAGTTTAGTTATGCAAATATCCATTTTGTGACTAAATGTAATGTGATCACTGGGCTGGAAAATTATAAAAGTTTGGATTTTAACCCTCCCTCAATCCCAATAATTTTAATTATGTTCAATCAGTGAAGGCGTAACAAGAGCCAGCAGTTTTTATAGCTGTCTTCAAAATTTTAAATTAGTTCATTCACTTTGGTAATTTCTAAAAAAATACAGTTAGGTAACAAATAAGGGCAGAAGTGCTATTCTTGTCAGAAAAATTTCTTCCTTAGTTTTCAGGCTTTATATTAGGACTCTGATAATTCTAACAAGTTCATGTAATAGATCAATATATCTTATTCTGGTTATTGGAAAATCCCTGCTTAATGGGATCTGCCTTTTGCTTATTTTGTCACAACCATGGCTACTCTGGAAGCCCAAACATTTATGTTCCTTGTTTTGAAAAATGGAGAAGACTGTTGCTCAGTTTTGCCCACATTAAAAATTTATGTGGCATAGTGGAAAGGTTTTAGGCTTTGCAGTGAGAAAGATATGCACTCAAGTCCTGGTCCTGCCACATAGAAGTCTTGTAACTTTGGGAAAGTCATTTATCCAACTAGAAACTCTGGTCTCTTCTAAAAAGTGGGGATTTTATACTTTTGCATTAAAGATGAGATAATATAAAATACTAAGCAGAACATTACATTTGGTAAGTGCTCAAAATGTTATGTAGTCCGAGATTCCAGAACTTGGAAAATACTGAACATTTCTCTCCCTCATAAGTTATGTGGGAAATCATACTAAAATGAGCAGTGTTCACTTTTAAGAATCAAATGCTATTATAAGCTGGATATTGTGGTAGGCACTGGAGAGTCAGTGATAGACAAGGCGGAGAGCTTGCTGCCTTGGAAACCGAAGTCTAAGGGAAGACAAACACATAAACTATAATTATCAAAATGGGTGGTAAATGCTGTGATTAACATTTCTGTGAGGGCAGGGACCATATCTGTCTTCTGTATCCCTACTATAGTAGCTGAAACAGAAGAGGCACTAAATAAATATTGTGAGTTAATGAATAAAACAATAAATGTATCCAGCCTAGGATAATCAAGGAGGAATTGCTGCAGGGGTTGACTTTCATGTTGTTAATCTGTATTTGTTGGGAACCAAATAATCACTGTTTTAGGCCCAGAACATTGAGAATAATAAACATAGAACTTTCCCTCAAGAAATTCTCCATTATCATTAGAATGAGGGCTGAAGGATGTGAAAGCAACAATAATTCAACCCCAGGGACCAGTGACATGCATTCAATAGTAGAAGTGTATACAAGCCAGGAGGGTTACTAGAGAAAGGAGTGCCTCCACTCTAGTTCTAGTGGTAGTGACCTTGACATGTCACTGCATCCCTCTTGATGACCTATTTCCATGTCTGCAAAGTGAGTGGCTCATTCTGATGAACTTGGAGACATCTCTGGCTTCATCAGGATTTAGCCTACATATATTTTAGTTACTCAGAAATGAAATACAGGCATAAATGGAACTAGGGGATGAGAGGCAGTGGCCCAACCCACCACCACCAAACTGGTTGGACCTCATATGTTGGGTCTGTTAAAAGTACTCATTCTTCACTAAAGCAGCAAGTTTACCTATATAAATAAGAGTTTTTTCTTGTCATTCCCGTAATGGATATGGGGGGGGGAGGGAGGTGAGGAAAATAGTGAGCAAATTCTCAGATGTAGGAACTCAGTTTGGTGTACTTTTCAACCTCACAATAAAACACTGAACTATACTTCCTCTGGGTCTACTTTAGCTCATCAAAAATCCACCCTGATAGATTTCTGTGGGAAGAAACAAAGATCTTTTTAAGGTCTTCAATCCCATATTTCACATATATTTGTGGAGCCCTAAAAACATTAAGATAAATGGCATTGAGTGCTTTACCTCCCTGTTTCTGCCAGAAGACTAGGAATGACAGCAAGAAAGAGCACCACATGGAGAATGATTAGATAAAAACCATCTTCCTCTACCTTAAAATCCTCTGCAGGGAGAGAAACAATTCAGGTCACCTCTTAGAAGGGGTTGTCTTACTTGCCTGAGCCAACTCACATGTGAACACTCATTCAGACATACTACCAGTGATCTCTTTCAAGCCAAACACTTCTAGATCACTCCAGTGACATGGGGGGTGGGGGGAGGAATATAAGGCTCAATCCAATGCTTGGATTTTTTTAATTCAGTGCAAAACCATTAGAGGCCTAATATCTTTCCTGGGGTCTGCCATAAGATTTGGGAGAAGACAGTAAGTTGGAGATTTAGTTTGAAATACACCTACGCACCTGGCAGAGAAAAACCTTTATGGTCACATAAAAGGATGAGTCCAGTCAGCTCTCAAATCCAGTACAATTCTATGTTATTCCCTCATTTATTCACTAATTCCTTCAACCATTTGCTCACTTACTGTGTTTGACGTCGTAATTGGGCTTGGGAAAGATAGATGAAGGACACGTAATTCCTGCACTCAAGAAGCTCATATTTGATTGATATAAGTAGCTAACATGCATTTGCCATTGTTCTAATACAACAATCCCAGGATAGGGGTATTAATGTTATTATATCCATTTTATAGATGGGACATAATTGAAGCCAGAGAGATTTAACTGTTTTTCTTAGGTCACACAGCTAGGCATGGCAGAGCTGAGATTTGAACCTGCAGGTAGTCTAGCTGTAGAGTGCTCTCAACCACATGACAGGCAACATAGACATGTGTGAAATGCAGTAATGTAGTGCAGCATGGATTTAAGAGTATGGACTCTGGAATTATACCATGAAGGTTTAAATTGCTGGTTATACTACTTATTAACTGTCTGACCTTTGGCAAGACATTTCTCAGTTTCTCTTTCTCTTGTACAATTTGGAGATGATAAAAGGATCTACTTCATGAGCTACTGTGAGATTGAAATAAAAATGCATGTAACCTGCTTAGCAGACTATCTGACATATAAAATTATGTAATAAATATTAGATATTACTATTAATAATAATGATAGAGTTAGTGCAAAGGAGCTACACGACATAAGGAACTCATTTCTGCTTGAAGTATCAGAGAAGGCAGTTTGGAGCTGGACCCCAGACGTGGCACCTTATCTCATTCTATTATACCCCATTATGTTTCCTAAGTAATTCTTTAAGGAGAGCCCGTGCAAAAATTACAACAGTGACTAAAGAGCAAGAAAATATGACTTATACAGAGAAATATAATAATTAAATTAGTAACCAGGCATAATGATAATATCATGGCCAGAAAACAGTAAGAATATAATAATAGACAATGCCTTTATGAAGTATATGGTGATGGCTATAAAACCTTCATATTTACCTAAGTCAATAGACAGATTTGATCAAAGGAAATTTAGGTTAGCTTTGCTGAATAAGAATGTTTCTTCTTTATGAATGACTGTCTTTTATCCTTAGAACAGATGACCAAGAGAAATTGTGAGATCTTCTTTCCTAAAGATAGTCTTCTCTGGATAAGTTGATTTAAGGATGACCCTGCAGGGTCAAAATGAATGAGGAAAGCAACCATTTTCCCTGACCAGGGAGCAACAGCGGTGATCGACATTCACCCAAGGAGCTTCAGGGCCCGCATTTATGAAGCCTAGTACATGATCTCCAGAGAAATAATTGTAGCCATAAAATGTAAAAACTAGGGATTGAGTGTAGGGCAAAGAGATTTCTATAGTTTTCTGGTCAACCTATTCATATTTCAGATGAAGAGACACGTCTAGAAAGGCTAAGCGGCCTAGAACTCTAACCATTTTTTTTTCTTATTTCTATTCCAGAATTCTTTGACGCAGATATTAAAAACACCAATTCCTCCCTCAATGATATTTTTGATTCCTCAATCCTATTAAATATGTAACATAGAAACTTAGGGAAAACATAGCTTGGAAAACACAAAGTTTAAAATACTTGGAAGGAAAGTGACAGGTTATAGGGACCTAATGTTCACTACAACTTTGTTGACGTGAATGGTTGCTTTCTAGAGCTGGAGAGAATACATTTCTATTGTTTCTGTCTTCACACTGTCAATCTGCATGTGACTCAGCTTTTTTAAATGACTTTCGTATCTGTCATTTCATTTTGTCCTCCCAGCATCCTAGGAAATAGTTAAGTAAAGCACTATTATTTTAATCAAACAAATGAGGAAACTGAAGCCAAATAAAGTTAAGCAAAGTATTTACTCTTCAAGTAAACGGAAACCATTTACTAAACAAACCCTCGAAGCTGCTTTATAGAATTATATCCTTGTTTTTTGTCTTTCTTTCTCCTTAATTTTGTATGGTAATGTATCAGAAATATTGTCACATCTAATTTACAAGCTTCCCTGAGGGTTACATGATATGCAAGGATATTTGAATTACAGTTCTTCTAGACTGTTGAATTAGAGGAAAATAATTTAACACGTTTAGTGCATAAGCACTTGATGTCTAGAGATACTCTTTCAATTCAATTTAGGAGATTGATTTTTTTTTGTTGTGTTTTTCTTTTATTTTTAAACTATTACAAAATGATTATGATTTTGCTGCCTTTTTTTTCTCCTTATGTGTTTTGTGCCAAAACTTCTTAGATTTTTTTTTTTAATTTAAGAGAATGATTTCAATAGATTTGAAATCCTCCTATTCTTTCTCTAATTTGTTAGGAAGTGATTTATATAACAAATATAATGTGGAATAATAGCTCCTCCAAATTAGTATTCTTTGCAGAATCTTCCTAAAATGTCACATTGTGGACAACAAAAGATGATAATGGAATATGTATAGACACTCATCTTTCTGACATTATATGAAAGATGGGATTTTTTCTTTGAGCTGATGACATTTTGTAAACCACAGTTGAATGAATGGTTAGGAATCATAATAGCATACTCCTGAGAGGGTGAAATGTAACATGGCCATGTCCACACAAGACTACATTTTAGGAGTCCTGGGAAAATTGGTTTTCTGCCTTTTTCTCAAGTTTGAATCACTCCTTTCTTTCAGATGACCTTGGAGTCATCACCCAAAGTATCACAGAAACTGAAAAGAAATTAGTAAACGTTGTATTTCCCCTCCCAAAGAAAGAGTCTCATGGATGTTAATTTGAGTGAGTGCCCTTAAACCTCAGTGCCTCCTTTTCACCATACACAGATGTTGAATACTTAAAATATGTAAAACCTTCTATATTCAAAGAACTGTCCCTCTTTCCAATTAACTTTCAGTTTAATGAGAGGGATATAAGCATATAAGTTAGCTAAAATAAAAAGTATGAGATTTTATTATAAATGTAAACAGAAGCTATAAATAAATTTGAAGTTACTTCCTAGTGATCAGTCAATGGCAATTGTTATCATTATTAACAATTAGCAGTGAAAGCATACTTGTGTGTGTGTGTGTGTGTATGATTTTCTCCTATAAAGAGTAAATGCATTTATTTTACCAATATTTTTACGAATTCTGATTGGAGGGAAAAGAGGAGAAAGTGGAGAAAGGAACTAAAATTTATTTTAAAACTCTTACATAGCATGATCTTAATCAGAGCCCTTATTCTTTATTCTCCCCACAACATACTTCTCACTTTTTTATAGATCAAGAAACTGAGGATCAGAGACTGTAAGTGAGTTACCCAAGTCTATCCAGGAAGAAAATAGCATATCTAAGTTTTGAACCCAAATCCAAACCTAATAAACTTTCCTCTGTAGTGCATTTCTTCCTATTCTGCTATGGACTGAGCCCAGCCTATAGATGAACAAAATATTCAGCAATAATAGGTGTCAAGTAGAGAATTTTGTATCAAGATACTGAGATGTGAAAATGTGTGGTAAGACATGAGACACGATAGTGAAAAGCATATTAGAGCTGTGACACGGAGAGTCTTAAATCCAGGTAATGGAGAAGTTTGCTTGTCAGTAGATGATACTGGAGACATTGTTGATTGTCACACTGGGGGAGGGCGAAGTGTTTACTAGTGGCATCTAGTGGGTATAGGTCAAGTGAAAAATCCAAAAACATATAGGACAGCCCCCACAACAAACAACTATCTGGTCTGAAATGTCAATAGTGCTGAGGTTGAGAAACCTTAATGTAGATAATGGGAATCCATTAAGGTATCTTAAGATTTTATGTACACTTTAAAAAGATTACTCTGACATCAAAATTTAGGGAAAACTGGAGTGAGGAAGTGACTGGAGATAAACAAGGCAGTTAATAGATCTACAAAAGAGTTAAGAGCAGTGACCATGAGATAAGAGATAGACTAAGAGATACTGCACAGGAGAAATTAAAATTGTGATCAACTGATTCCTTTCTCTCTCTCTCAGAAGCCCTACTTAACATCCAAGGTTTGATTCTAGGATTTTAGTCTGAGTGAGCAGACAGATGAGAGAGTACCATGAATTTAGAGATGGACTCTAAGGGAAAAAGCAGCACAACTATACGTTGGTCATTATATTTTTTTATGGGAAAGGTTAACTAATGTCAGTTTTTGAACACATTTAGTTGATGATGTCAATGAAAAATCAGTATCTCTGAGATGTCCAGTAGGTATTTGGGCATACAGGTTGATTTTAAAGTAATATCCCTTAGAGCTGTAGATTTGGCAGCCCTCTAGGTACAAATGATGCTGGGGCAGAGGTGAGAAAGGCAATTCCTGGATAGAGACAAAAAAAAAAGGGGGGGGGAAGCTGAAAGCAGAACTATACCAGGAACCTCTATGATTACTTTGCAGAAAGATGAGGATTGGGATATTAAGAGATCATGGACAGTTTTAGCCACATTATAGGGCTGAAGGAGGATGGCCATGGGCTGGGATATAAATCCACAGATTGCGTAGGGCAAAATTTGGAGTTGAAGGGAAGGAGAAAGCTGGAGCAACATGAATACCAAAGAAAGTGATGTTTTCTTAGTAAAAACACACCTATTTCTCTCCTACCCACCCACAGATAGCTCAGTATATATTCAGAATGGATAAAGCTAAAATTTTAAGATTTATAATTGAGAAAATATAACATCAATTTAAAAAAAAAAACTCCTATAATTTGGGTTGCATGTCAATCACTTTGGATCTCTAGATGAAATCAGACTTTGATGTATACAAAGACCATGAAGTGTGCCCAGCTAGTCCACTGTTTCCTAGCCCAGGCTAGGAAAAATCTATATTGAAGTGGATTTTCCTTGGCCTCCCTTAAAGAATAGTTTGTGTATCTAGGTGGGACCTGAAGAACTGAATGTTTCAAAACCTTCCCAGGTGATTCTGGTGAGGGTATTCCTCAAAATAAATTTTGAAAATCCCTGGATTCCATCCCACTCTCCTCATTCCAAAGATCAGGCTAAGCTAAATGACTTACCCAGGATCACAGAGCTGCTGAAAGGAAGCGCTGGTGTTAGAGCTGGAATTCCCCTAACTTGGACACCAAAGCTCCTTCATTAGACAGCCTAAATGTCCTCCGCAATGGTAAACTGGGGATTTGGTCTGTTCTAATCCATTGGTATGTGTTGTCAGGATCTCGCACATTGCCTTCAGGGTCATTAAAGCCAATCTGTAAATAGTTGCTCATCTATGTCTCTTAAATGTGTGATATACCAGGATAAGGAGGTAGCAATATCCATGAGATCTCTGGCACCTCAATTTCATACTCAAACCCATTCTGGTGTTTTCACAACGTCTTTTTTCTTTCCTGGATAAACATTTTCTCTTCAGGAACCAGATGTCACATGGAGACAGGATATGTCTTAAGTCTAGGTTTTTGCTACTGATGGAAAAATCCAGAGATAACTTCTTTTCAAGGTCAAATTGCTCACCTTACTGTCTGTTTCACCCTCTAGGAGAATATGTTGTTATGACCACTCATTTCCACCTGAAGAGAAAGATTGGCTATTTTGTTATTCAAACATACCTGCCATGCATAATGACAGTCATTCTCTCCCAAGTCTCGTTCTGGCTCAACAGAGAGTCTGTACCAGCGAGGACTGTCTTTGGTAAGTGCCAATCAGGACATGCAGGCAAGGGTCTGGGGAGCAAGTTATATCATCCTGATGATGTTGCAAATGGAATGAAAAAATAACTATACATTAAAATCTGAAGTTAGCACAATAGAAAGGTTCAAAGAATTACCATTCTCATTATGGTGTGATTTTAAAAAACTCTTTAAATTGCAAGCTGTTTTAATGTATGTAAATAGATGCATGTGAATATCAACTAGGCACATGCTATGTTTAAGACTCTTTACTATGGAATAAAAAGCCTTAAGAGGCTTATAATCTAAACTAAAGATTATTCATGTGCAGAGATCCCTATGGTATCATTCTTCAAGAATAGGCAAGGTATGGAAAATCAGTTATCTCAGGAAAAAAGCAAGACTTTGCTACAAGTGCCCAGAAAAGAGTTTTTTCTTCTGAACTTAGCAAAGGGCTTCCAGGTTGGAAACCACCAAATCTTTGCTCTGACAGTAGCCTAGAAACACAGGTATATTAAGATCCAGAATGAGGGCACCTGGGTGGCTCAAATGGTTAAGCATCTGCCTTCAGCTCAGGTCATGATCCCAGGGTCCTGGGATCAAGTCCCGCATCGGGCTCCCTGCTCCTTGGGAGCCTGCTTCTCCCTCTGCCTCTCTCTCTCTCTCTCTCTCTCTCTCTCTCATCTCTCATGAATAAATAAATAAAATCTTAAAAAAAAAAAAAGATCCAGAATGATTCCAGCCGCAGAGCACAAGAGTAGTTCATTTCAAACTTCTTTTATTACCATTTGTTAATATTAACTAGTGTTGAAGCCACTTACTAGAACTGAAGATTGAACTCTTGTCAAGATGCTTATTTATAGATGTATATTCACTGGAATTTGAGAAAAATAGAATAGAGAACATATTTTATGTTTTATGTTTATTTTTGTAGAATGAATAATAGTACTAGGTGAAAAAGATTTTTTTAAATGCTCACTCTTCCCCCTTCTTACCCTAATAAATCCTACCCTTCCTGTTTGAAAATTCTCTAAAGCATTTTGGAATGTTTTATAAGTCAAAAACCTTACTCTTAACATTTTCAACAATCTGATATCTCAGCCAACTTATGCCCTTTTGGTGAACATAACTACATATCTGTAAACTCAACTGTGGCAAGTATTTCCGTGTATCAAGTTATATATTTCAATGTTTTAAGTTCAGTACAATCACAAATACAATTTCCCAAGACCTTTAGCCTTTTAACATTTATTTAGAACACATGTTTCTATTGTTTTTAGTCTCAACTCGAACATTCCTCCGCACTGGGTGAGATGCCTGAGAGGGTCACAGCTATTTAAAGAAAAAATACACAAAGGAAAAAGAAAAAAAAAGTACTTTGTAACAGTTTATTATAAGGCATCAAGAATGCAACATAGCTGAAGCCTGTTTTATGTCGTCAAAGGTCATCTTCTTGCTGGTGCCTGTTCTCTGTCATTTAGAGGCAATGTGATCATGTAATTTTGTTGCCAGATAGATCAAAGTTTTAGGTTCAATCTTCATTTTTTTTAAGATTTAGTTGCCTATAAAATGAGAATGCAATTAAAGTAAAATAGTGCTGTTTAAAAGATTGAGAAGAATACAAATATGTCAATTGTCAGGTTGAATTCTTGGAACTCGATATATGCTCAACCCATTTTTGTTCTTTTCCCTGTCCCTCTAGCAGGAATTGTAAGACCACACACACACACACACACACACACACACACACACACCCCTCTCCTTATGCCCTTCTTAATTTATGGATGCATTTGGTTTAAGAACACACATTCCCAAATTACTTCTGACAGTTGCCTACATGAACCAAAATTTGAGAAAAAAATGGAATTCACTGTAGCAGAGGTTTATTAACAAGGACTGAAGTTGCCAGTAATAATAGCCATTAACTTTGTTCAATGCTGAACACTTTTTTACAGTAGTTTATTTAATACTCATAATAGCCCTCTGAGTTAGACTTATTAAAATTAATTTGCAAAGAAATAATTTTTTTTAAGAAAACCAACAGAAGTTCAGAATTGTGAGACAATTTTCCCAAGGTCATTCAGCAATTAAAGAGCTGGGACTTGAAACTGGGTTGTTCTGTTCCTCAAATACCGACATTTAATTACCTTGCTCTTTGCTCAAGTTAATATTGATATGTAAATTTAAGAGCTGTTTACCAGCCACTATTTCTTAAAACGTTTGTTGGTTACATAATACAGATAATGCCCCAGAACTTTCTGTAACATCTCCAAAGTTTAAAGTAAGTCTATTCCCTTTTTTTATCTGTGACCGTGTATCAAAAATATGATTCAATAAAAGTCTCTGTGTTTCTTCTTACTCTTATCACTTCCTAACATAGTTACAAAGATCATCTACCTTAAAATTCATGGAAAACTAGGGAATATTGGATGTTTTAAAGCAGCTATGAAAAATTAACCACCTACCAGCTGTGTGATACTGCTGATTCTCTAAAAATTAATCAAAAGGGGTAATCATAGATATGAGTTTTAAACACATCGGATGACAATATCTTCCACAGCAATAATTTATCATCTTTAAAACGTTTTACATATTGTTACATTTAATCCTCAAATAATCTTGTGAATTACTGCAGAAATTTCTCTTAGAATTTCAGCAATGATATATAATTGAGAGAATGAAATCTAAATTACCCCTCTTACAGATATGGAGACTGAGGTCCCTAGAAGTGAATATGCCTATGCGGCCATTGAGCTAGTAAGTGGTGAGTCTGGGACCAGTCACTGAAAAAGGTTTGAAGTTTTTCCATACCGTGCAGCCTGCTGGGTTACTGTGAATTTTTTAATGCCCTTTCAAATGGCTTAAAATGTATCTTATAATATTAGATCATACTGCATTACATATACTAATTATCTAAATAAGCTAAAAACAACTGACTTGAAAACCGCTTTGAATATTGGTAACTTGAATCACTAAGGATGGATGTGCAGACCAAGGGCAGATGAGGCAGCATTAACAGAGAAAGGGAAAGATTGTGGACATCTAAATCAGGCAAGCTTGTGCTCAAATGTTTGTTTTGTCACTTCTGTGCCGTGTGCCCTCAAGCAAGTGACATGCAACACATTTCAGGAGTTTCTTCAAAAAAGGAGCTGTATCAGAATTAGGAGGGAAAGATAATTTAAAAGTAGAAGAGTTTGTAACAAAATATTACCCTAAAATAAATAATTAATATTACCCTAAAATAATAATTAAAATAAGTTTGTAACAAAATATTACCCTAAAATAAATTAATTAATTAAAAGTAATGTAACAAAATATTATCCTAAAATAATTCAATTATCTATCAGTGATTAACAAGAAGCTGTTGACTTCTTGGTTTATACATTTAGGATATGCAGATAGAATATTAAACAGGGCTGAGGATCCAGCAGTTTCTTGTGGATCAGAGACAACGAAGATCATTGCTTTCTGTTTCAAAAAGTTGGGGACAGTGAGACAGTATTACTTCCTTTCCTGCCCAGGACACCTTGTTCAAGGCACCCAATTAAAGGAATTCATGCTGTTATTAACAGCTTCCCAATAGCAGAGCAGTTTATCCCTCCAAGAGATCCCCCTCAATACTGCCGCACTGTGAACTGCCAACTACAATAGGGTTAAATTAAAACTCATCCATCCCAAACCAAAGTGGGATGAACTAAAAAACACAATGTATCTGTGGTCCTACTGGTTTCCCTTTGCCCTAGTAGGCTGACCTCCAGTGATCAAATTTTGTAGTGTGAACCTACAGATTCACTTAATTTCTTCCTTTACAGGAGTAACAACTGTGCTCACTATGACAACTTTGAGCATCAGTGCCAGAAATTCTCTTCCTAAGGTGGCTTACGCCACTGCTATGGATTGGTTCATTGCAGTGTGCTACGCCTTTGTGTTCTCAGCTCTGATCGAGTTTGCCACGGTCAATTATTTCACCAAGAGAGGTTATGCATGGGATGGCAAAAGTGTGGTTCCAGAAAAGGTAAGTACTTCAGTATCCCCCATGATCTGTCACTGGTATGTCTTATTAAACCTGTGAGATGGCATGTTTGGACTTTGGGGAATGGATGAAGAATGCAGACACAGTAATGAGGATTCTCTGTTTCTTGTATCATAAGTGACTGTCTGCTGTGGTAATTTTGGAAGTGCTAAAGAGAGAGGTTGTTTAAGTGAGCCGATGTGCAAAGTAGAGTGAAGGAGATAAAGGAGGGACAAAGGTAAACATTTCTACTCAAATATGCTTTCCTGTGGTCTCTATTGATTTGAGAACAGTTTTAATCAACTTGACATTAGGAGCAAATAAATTTATGCCATTTATAATTTGAACTTAAAAATCACAGTCTTTTGGTTGTTTTCTGAGCCTAATCACTTTGGTCATAAATACCATTAACTCTAATGCCTCGACTGAATTTAGTTTACAAAATGTATTATCTCCAATTTTCAGTGAAGTAAAGGACAGGAAATATATTTCCTTTCCAAATTAGGTTTGCTTTAAGGATCATACACAAATCACAGAAAAATCCTTCATTGTAGAAAATTATCAAGTCAAGCTCATTACCGTTTTCCTAAATTAGAACCTATTTTAGAGCGTATTTTAAAGCACATGAGGCGAGGATATTTCTACTTGTATGGCTTGAAGGAAAAATATGTCAAAATGCAAGCGAGCCTTGGAATGGTGGAAAGAAGTCGAAGTCAGAGACACAGAGATTGTAAGATGTCTAGAAATAATCTAGGAAGAATCACTCTATAGCAGCTTTTTCCCAAAAGTCTATTCCTCCGAGTACTAGTATCATGAGATAGTCTCTAAGAATAAAGTTCTATGGTTGAATACACTTGAATAATGCTGCATATTATATCACAGAGTCACGGGATATTCAAGAATATGAAAGTCTATTGTAAAGAAATTTACTTAATGGTGTTTCCCTCATAGCTCCATGGATGTACTAGAAAGGAAAATGCTTTGTGGTGGAAACATCTACCTTATTTAGACTAATTTAAGGGGCGCCTGGGTGGCTCGGTTGTTAAGCGTCTGCCTTTGGCTCAGGTCATGATCTCGGGGTCCTGGGATCGAGCCCCGCATCGGGCTCCCTGCTCCACGGGAAGTCTGCTTCTCCCTCTCCCACTCCCCCTGCTTGTGTTCCCTCTCTCGCTGTGTCTCTCTCTTTCTGTCAAAATAAATAAATAAAAATCTTTAAAAAAAATAAACTAATTTAAAGTGTTACTGATTATAAGATGAGCTATTAATATATGCATAAGTAGGAAAGAAAAGATTTTGCCAAGTAAAAGCTCTTTTAGATTTACCCATCAGGCACAGATGAGTCAGCTGAACACCCCAATGATCTCCTACACAAGTGAAAGCAAAAGAAGGTCTGTATAGAATGCACTATGGCAGCCAACAGAACCCTAACCAGGCCCTCAAAATTCACTTGCCTTGAAACGTGCTTGCCAAGTATAAAAAAAAAAAAATCTGAATTTGCAAACCAAGGACCTTGGCTCAGGTTCAGGAGAGAGAAGGGACAAGACAAAGGGATTGCATTTACCGGTTGGAGAGAGGAGTAAGGAGGAGTAAAAGAGTGAGCACAGAGTGATTGTCAGATACTTACTTTAGACATTGATGGTCTCCATTTGTCCTAGAACAGAAGAGCATCCCAAAGAAGAGAGATCCAAACATGGGGAATAGTTAATCATAAGACACTACCAAGTATAAGACATAACCCAGAGTCATAGATGTGAACATTTTTAAATTCGTATCTTAGAATCACTAAAATAGTCTGCTAAAGGGCTTCAGAATTAATGATCTGTAAACGTGGGTGATATACAACTGAAAAGTGATATGCCAACATTGGGAACAATTGCTTTTCTATCTGAATACTCTCTTTGTTGCAAGAGGCCAGTGTCTTTCTGATTCTGTCTCATCAGTATCAGTTGTTAATGACTTGTTAGTTGAACTTGGTCCAGAAAACATAGAATTTGTGTTGAGGCATTGGTTGAGCTCAAAGTTCAGTTATTTATTTCTGTCTGACCCTGTATTCGGAAATACTCTGATCTCTAGCAATCTACAGTCCATGTTATTCAGTATACAAATATAGATATAGAGTCGTATCTTATCTATATAAATATATACATATGTCAGTAATTCATCTATAGCCATCATCCAAATGAGAAAGATAATATTTTCTGTAAATTATCTATGCCTCTGTAAAAATCTTCCCCAGGGCTTTGCCAGTTTGATTGGCTTTTTACAGGGAGTGTGAGCACAGTGTAATCCAGGTCTCATTTTGACATTTAGAGAGAATTAATAAAATATATTTTCTATGACCAGGTGAGTGTTTTCAGGAGAATTAAATTTTCAATCTCTAACATGGTATAACTTGAAAATAAAAAGAAAAGTTCTCTAAGTCATCACATTATCAACTGAGCATTCAGGAGCCTGCTTAAGATCCATTTTCATATGGTAAATTGCTAAAAGAAATATCAGTTTCTTACAAATCAAAACCTCAATGAGATACCACCTCACACCAGTCAGAATGGCTAAAATTAACAAGTCAGGAAATGACAGATGTTGGCGGGGATGTGGAGAAAGGGGAACCCTCCTACACTGTTGGTGGGAATGCAAGCTGGTGCAGCCACTCTGGAAAACAGTATGGAGGTTCCTCAAAAATTTGAAAATAGAGCTGCTGTATGACCCAGCAATTGCACTCCTGGGTATTTACCCCAAAGATACAAATGTAGTGATCTGAAGGGGCACGTGCACCCCAATGTTTATAGCAGCAAAGTCCACAATAACCAACTATGGAAAGAGCCTAGATGTCTATCAACAGATGAATGAATAAAGAAGATGTGGTGTATACACATACATACACACACACACACACACACACACACACACACACATATATACACAATGGAATATTATGCAGCCCCATCAAAAAACACAAAATCTTGCCATTTGCAATGATGTGGATGGAACTTGAAGGTATTATACTAAGCAAAATAAATCAATCAGACAAAGACAACTATCATATGATCTTACTGATTTGAGGAATTTGAGAAACAGAACAGAGGATCATAAGGGAAGGGAGGGAAAAATGAAACAAGACAAAACCAGAGAGGGAGACAAACCATAAGAGACTCTTAATCTCAGGAACAAACCGAGGGTTGCTGGAGTGGAGGGGGTGGGAAGGATGGGGTGGCTGGGTGATGGACATTGGGGAGGGTATGTGCTATGGTGAGCTCTATGAATTGAGTAAGACTGATGAATCACAGACCTGTACCCCTGGAACAAATAATACATTATATGTTAATAAAAAAAGAAATACCAATTTCTTAAAGAATGTAGGGAGCTCAACATTCTTGAAAATTAAAAAAAAAAAGATTATTATTCTTTCCTGATAATCCAACCAGATATTTCTCAATATTTTATTCAACATGATGTTGCAAATAAAATCACTTAACTTGAGAAACTTAGTACTGGAGTATTATAATTTGGCACTGGGAGAAATGAAATCTATCAAAAATATAAACTCTTCCCCAAGAATTATTCCTGCTGCAGGTTATTCATTTCAGTTTATCTAACAGGGTGTCTCACTCAACAACTTTTGATTAGATTGGAACCCATTGCCTCTCTTCCACAATAGAGTACATATACTTTTTTTTTTTTTTAAAGATTTTATTTATTTGATAGAGAGAGACACAGTGAGAGAGGGAACACAAGCAGGGGGAGCAGGAGAGGGAGAGGGAGAAGCAGGCTTCCCGCGGAGCAGGGAGCCCGATGCAGGGCTTGATCCCAGGACCCTGGGATCATGACCTGAGCCGAAGGCAGACGCTTAACGACTGTCACCCAGGCGCCCCAGCAGTTCCTGAACTCTTAACAAACAGGCGCCTGAGTACATATACATTTTATCTAAAGGACATGCATGCTTTTTCATGTATTCTGCAATGTTAGAACTCTTATTTTTTAAGAAATGAACTAATACAAATTTGGGCTGGCTATTTAAGGGTGTTGAAATAATCAACCATATCTACTTTTTTATTCTAGTATAGATGATACAAAATGTTACATTAGTTTCAGATGTACAACCTAGTGATTCCACAACTCTATGCATTAATGCTGTGCTCACCACAAATGTAGCTACCAAGGGTCACAATCCAATGCTGTTATGATACCATTGACTATATTCCCGATGCTGTGCCTTTTATTCCCGTGATGTACTCACTCCATAACTAGAAGCCAGTATTTCCCACTGCCCTTTACCCATTTTGCCCATCCACCCCCTTGTCCTCTGCTCTGGCAACCAACAATTTGTTCTCTGTACTTATGGTCTGTTTCTGCTTTGTGTTTGTTTATTCATTTGTTTTGTTTTTTAGATTCCATATATAAGTGAAATCATATATATGGTGTTAGTCTTTCCCTGCATAACTTACTAAACCATATCTATTTTTGACCTGTAGTCATTTTGACATTGAAAGAATCACTGTTACTTGTTTTATTTTTGTACAAATAATTATGGAAATTTCTGTCACTCTTCATAAAGCTTAACCAAATCTGTATTCACTATAAAATAGGAGTACACTTGGAGTAAGTGGCCTTACTTTTAATGATGTAATACTAGAAAGAAAAAATTCTGAGCTCTTTGTCATTGTCTTAATGTAATTCTTAAGGATTCGGAGAAGGGAGAAAAAGTAGCAGATAGGTTACAGGGCTGGATAAAGAAATTAACCTGTTAAAATACCTGACTAGCGTGCCTTGTGAAAAGCAGCAGGTCTTCTGGTAGTAAGATTTTATTCTGATTCAATAATAAAAATACAAATTATTCAGAGAGCATTGAGTCTGGTTGGTCAGGTTTAGCTGCTCATCAGTATTCTCTGCATACCCTTTTGCAGTATCAGTAACCAGACTCTGCTCCTGAGGAATTTTGATTCAAAATATGGATTGTGCCCAAGATATTTGCCCTTTAAAATTTTTTAACTAGTGATTTAATGAGCACAAAAGAATGAGAACTACTCTTCTACATTAATGCTGTCCAGCAGAAATACGTGAGACACAAATGTGAGCCATATATATAATTTAAAATTTTAATAGCCTTATTTAAAAAGTACAAACCAGTGAAACTAATCTTTTTTTCTTTTTCGACTTTTTATTTAATTTCTAGTTAGTTAACATACAGTATGGTGTTAGTTTCAGATGTTGAATTAATGACTTAATAATATGATTTAACCAATATATCAAAAATATTATATTTACAATGTGTAAACAATAAAAAACACTATTAAAGAGATATTGCATTCTTTTTTCTTTTTTTTTATAGTAGACCTTCAGAATCCTATACATATTTTATACTTAGACACTAGCCATATTTCAAGTACTCAGTAGTCGTAAGTGGCTAGTGGCAACTGAATCAGACCACATAGCTGTAAACAATGATCCACTTCGGTTTTTAGAAATTTCTATATGACAGAAACCCCAAGAAATGCTGCGCGTTGAGACATCATTGCACAGATAACATGGACAAGCAGCTGACACTGAATAAGAATTGACTTCAGGATACCCTGAATCACTCTGCTTTATCATTTGCCCACTTGCAACATAGGGAGAAGGAGCAAATAATAATTGGCTCAGCATCTTACTGCTGCAAAACAAACCACTCCAAAACTTAGTGCCTTAAAGTAACCACCAGGCGCTTGGGGCTGGGAACAACCTGGTGGTACTTAAGGTTAGTAGACCGTGGGCTCAGTAACATGGTTGCAGTACATGAAAGACTCCACCAGGGGGAGAGAATCCACGATGGCCTCTCATTCGTCTGGGGCCTGGTAACTGGCGGGCCCTCTCTACTGCACATGATCTCTGGTCACCCAGTTTTCTAGTCCAGGCTTCTTCATGAGGCAGTAATATGTTTCTAGAGGGTAAAGGCTGAGGCTATAAAGCTTCTTGAGGATAGGCTCCTAAACTGGCATCACATCACTCCTCCTCCTGATTGGAAAGCCTGGAAAATACTGTGCATTTTTTTTCCAGCTTTATTGAGATACGTGACACATGACATTGTGTAAGTTTGAGGCATACAGTGTGGTTCATATGATACATTTATATGTTGTGAAGCGATTACTGCCATAGCATCAGTTGTCATCTGCATCCTGTCACAAAGTTACCATTTCTTTTTTTGTGGTGAGAATGTTTAAGACCTAGTCTTGGCAACACTCACGTCTAGGATATGTATTATTAGCTGTAAACACTGTGCTGTACGGTAGATGCCCAAATTTGTCAATTTTATAACTGGGCATTTGTGTCTGCATTTTTCTTTTGTCTCAATAATACAGTCATACATGACATTTCTCACGTTTTAAACAAAGCATAGGTTTGGGTTCCAAAGTAAAGTTCACTTTGCTCAACAACTTATAAACTTCCTTCCCACAGTTTACTGAACAAAATGCTTTTACTCTTTCCTTCTATAGCCAAAGAAAGTGAAGGATCCTCTCATTAAGAAAAACAATACTTATGCACCAACAGCAACCAGCTACACCCCCAATTTGGCCAGGGGTGACCCCGGCTTAGCCACGATTGCTAAAAGTGCAACCATAGAACCAAAAGAAGTCAAGCCGGAAACAAAACCACCAGAACCCAAGAAAACCTTTAACAGTGTCAGCAAAATTGACCGACTGTCAAGAATAGCTTTCCCGCTGCTATTTGGAATCTTTAACTTGGTCTATTGGGCTACATATTTAAACAGAGAGCCTCAGCTAAAAGCCCCCACCCCACATCAATAGGTCCTTTCATTCACATTCTGTTGTTCAGTCCTCCGCACTGGGAATTGCTTTCTGTTCTCAACGCAGTGATTTCTACCTGCTTTATTGCCTCTGTCTTAAAGAATTTGAAGGTTTCCTTATTCCATAATTCATACAAGAACAACAGACCCCTGTCCAGCAGTCCAGAGCAAAGCAGAGCATACAGCTGAGAGACAGGATTCTGAGAGAGGAAGCAAGAGAGAAAAGTCACGACAGAAGGAGACAGAATGAAAGAGAGGAAAGGTTGGGGGAGTAGGTCCAGGCTATGAAGAAAAGTAGAAGGAAAATAAAACTTTTAACTCTATAACTCCCAGGTCATTTGTAGATATATATTTCCAAATATTCTAAAAAAAAGATACTGTATATGTCAAAAATATTTTTATGTGGAGGTGTTTCAAGGAATAAATTATAAATGTTTATTGAAAGAAATTTTAAAAATCTATGTCTTTATTGCGCAGACTGCAGTGTACTTTACATTTTGTTTTGTTTTTTAAACTGATGTATAGCTTTAACGCTTTGTTTCCAAAGCTTAAGATCCCCATTTTTTTCTCCGTTTAAAAATGGCTAATGCATTATTCTGTTTTTAAAGGATATTTTAAAATTCATGGAAATTGCATAGGCAAACGTGCAGTTCCTTACCGTTAAGCACATTTAATCCAAAAGAGAGAAATGCTTTAAATAGGTTACTTCACCATCATCTGAGCTTTTATCACTAGATTCAATGAGGAATCATTTTAACAGAGACATACACTCAATAAAAACTAAATACTAAAAAAAAAAAACAATTAAAAAATATTCCCTTTGCCACCCTGTCTATATCCAGATAGCACATGGGTCCAATAATCACTTGATTCTCATTATGAAAAGATGTTTTTAGAGGGGCAAACATATTTTGCAAGCTCTAGAATTGTTGAATGTATTATTTTATATAACAGTACATTAAAAGCTTTAGATTGAAATTTATGACTAGTAAGCAAATATAGAATATAGAAATTATGTATGTAAATATACGGCATGAGATTGTACATTTTTTACTTTTTTAAAGTTGTGTTCTTAAAATATTGTGTAGGACTCACCGCTCTTAGCTGTTAGAATGTTGTAAAGTGCTATGGAAATACCTTAGAGCCTGCATTAAAAACAGAACAGCCTGTGGGAATCAGATGGAATTTAAAATAGACGGGTATAAATTCTGCTTATATAGAGAAAGCTTATAATTTCAAACTATCGTCCGGTGTACAGTAGTAAATCACTTGCTCTCTGCTCAAGTCATGCCAGATTTCCCTATTTGAGGCTCTTGTAAAATACAAAGAAAATGGAAAATCATTAGTTGGAGCTAGAAAATCAACTGTATATTATTGCTATAATTGCTGATACCAACTATCTCAATAAGTGTTATACCATATGTAGCATTAAATATAAAAACACATGAAAGAATGTACAGGAAATAGCTTTTATTGAGTAACATTATTACATTTCATTTATACTGTAGCAATATATTTGTAGGTATACTATGTAAGGGCTTTAACTACAAGAGGTCCATTAATACTCCCTATAAAAATTCTGGTCTGTTTCATTACTTCCCAGATGTTTTAGAGATGAATATTTATGCAGAAGGTATTTTTGAAGTCTCCTTTTGTCTGATAGAATTTCAGAGATGTTTAAATTTAGCATCCAGAATCCACAGGTCATAGTCTAACCACATTTAGAATACTACAACATAGACCTATCAGCATAATTGCCAAATAAGTCCATTGGGATCCGTACCCAAGTTTTGAGCAATGTTTCTTTCAAAAAGCTGCTATCCAATGATGTAGGAAAAAACACAGTTTGTGTTTTCCTAAACAAACTCTGGTTTTCTTTTTAAATGTGCTTTATTGTTTGATTTGGTCCTGCCTAAATTCAACGAGCTATGCCAATAAAGACTGAACCAAGGACATTTCATCCTCTGGTATCATGTGTAGATATCATGTATAAAAAATAAAATGAAATATGGCTCTAATCTCCGTGTTGCTGTTTATATCTGTTATTTTTCGGCGTTAACCCAATGTGTTTATTAAGAGCATTTTATCTTCCAGACTCCTCATGGCTAACATTTGGTCTGTATTTTGCTCATTAGATGTGAATATTTCTTACTAGTCTGCTTTCTGCTATGCAATGATTGCATTTCTATCATTTCTTAGTTTGTTAGTATGTGTGAATAGTATTCTATTGTATAAATTGATTGCACAATTTATCAAAGACAAATTATTCTATGTAGCTTTTCTACAGTGCTTTGCTAAACCATGTAATACTAGTTAAGTCTTCCTTGAAAATAAAGATACACTCTTATAGAGGACAGTTCCTGTTTACCCCCAGGAACATTTTTTAAAAGATGACACTGAATGTTTTTTGCACCTTAGTGCAATGAAGTGGCAATAAAACCTAACATGAATCGAGGTTGTTTATGGTAGATGCATGTATTGCTTTACACAGTTTAGCAAAAGTTCTTAATTTTATGTCATACTGTATTCTATTATAATAATAAAGCTAATATTATTCAATAACCAAATGGAATGTTTGACTCTCTTTTCCTGTTATCCATAGGACTTACTACTGACCTGTTTTAAACATTTTCGCGTGGGAGCACCTTAAAGTGCCAAGTGCTAGCAACAATCTAGGGTACAGAGAAGAGTTTTGAAGACATGTCAATAATATGACCCTAAACTATGATTTTTAAATGAATCATTTGAAAAGAGGAATTATTAAATGCCCGATCTCTGGTGCAACCAGTAGCACTTCAACTCAAAATTCATAAAACATAAATAGAACGGAATCAAAATGCTGAAATGATAGTAGAGTATCTATTGTCAATACAGCCAATCTGTTTTCTGAACTACTGCACAGAGACTCTGGTTTAATTGTTTTGAGGGAGGAGTCTGAGCATTGTCATTTGAAAATCTCCCCTGGGACTGTTCTTTTCCTCAGTGTTTCTATGACCACAAAGTCAGATTAAAGTACAAAATACTTATAATCACTTGAAAGACAATAGAAAAATGATTTCAATGACAGGGATAAAACTGTACCGGGTTTCCACAGACAAGACTATGTGAGGCAAAATCTTTCTGTGTTAGATGGTGGCCAGGCAAAATCAAAATAAATTCTGTCTCTACAAATAATCTATCAAAAAAATGATTCATGATTTAGCAAAATTAATAATTTTAAAATCCTCCAACCAAATTGTTTATTCAATCCAAATAAAACTGCTCACGTAAACTAGCTGAATCCACATTCACTGATTCCTTGGCTCTCACAAAAATGAATGTAATGAACGATGGTAATTTTGGCTATCAAAATACATCCATGTCAGGGCCCACCATAATAATTAGCTAAGAAATCAAAATCAGAATGGACCTGGCATAATTGCTGACCATCTGTTTGAATTTCATTATACCTGTTTGTTAAGTCCTTCTGTTGGAGTTTTCTAAAATCTCTCCAACTCTGGTGACCAACAAGAACAAACATCTGACTTGATTACATTATAGTCACATTTCAGTCAAACTCCAAATGTTAATTTAATTATGCTAAATTCTGCTAACATTTGCTGAGTCTCTATCCTGTATTAAGTATTGTGCTCCATGATAGGGGTGTAGACATAAATATTTCATGGCTTTTTTCCTTAAGGAAATTGCAATTAGGAAAGGAAGACAGAGAATCAAGCAAAGATAATATAAATACTGTGAGAAAAGTAGAGGGTGCTAAGAGACAAATAGCAGGGCTAACTTGGCACTCTTCATAAGTTACATAGTTGTATCTGTAGGAACTAATCATGCCCAAGCTAAAACTTGAACTGTAAGAAGAATTGAAGTGGTCCTGGACCATTTGTCAATGGCTGGGGGATATAAGGCCAGCCCTACGCGTTGTGAGCCATTTAACCACCATCTAACACATGAGACCTCTCTTCAAACCCTTCAGCTACTGTGGTAGGTACTGAGATGAGAGAAGTGGAGATGACAGGATGACCTTGGAGAGTTCGTAATTCATAGAGAATCCAAGTGAACCTAAAGTTATAACATTTTGAACAAAATGCACATCTACCCATAAATGTACAAGGTATAGGGCATTTAATGCTTGGGCAGTTTTATGAGTTTTTAAAAGATGACTCAATATTTATTAGGCATTCTGTTGTTGGGGATGGCTGATGATGATGAGGGACAGGCCTTTCATTGAAAGGTGATAGTAACATATTAACACTTAACTCAGAGAGTCACAAACTCTTTTGTCAGGGAACTAACATGTGTGTGGAGTAGACCTAATATGACACCAGAGCAAGCGCTTGGGCCTGTGAGAAACAGGCCACATGCCCAGTCTCCTTAGCCTCAGCCACAGCCATTTTGTACCAGGTAGAGAAGGGGACTGTGTATTGCTGCAAATATCCCAATGTAACAAAAAAAAAATACTGAAATTCTTTTTAACTCCACAATTTTGAAACCACTGTATTTGTCAAACATAATATATGAGCCAGTTGAATTTGGCTAATTCAACTGATTAATGACCTCTGTTTTTCAGAAAATCAATACAGATTCATACATTAATTTGATAATATTAATTGAGCAACTATACTATGGTGCAAGAATTACTTCACAGAGAAAGGGAAGGTGTTCTTTCTTATTAATAGTGAGCGAACTTCAAAACTGTATTTGAAACAATGCTGATTACCCACATTTTCTAAAGTCACATTATTTTTCAACAAAACATTTGTGGTCTAAAGAGAAGTCGATATCTTCATGGGACTGTAAAATATTAAGGTTCTTTGGTTTGGGTTGGTAACTTACCTGTATTTCTCTAACTGTAACATGTAGCACGTTTGATTATGGAAAGTATGATTTCTTCATTAATAGTCCATCAAAGTATAATTATGGATATTACTTTCTTTGATTCTTACCATAAGCAGTATAGTTATAAAAGAGAAATTTATATAGGTCTGTTGATTTGCCTAAAACACTGTGTAAGTAATATTGCCTTCATTATAAAGCTGATACTTTCAAAATTCATTTTTTTTAAAAAAATTTACACTGGATTTCCTTGACTAATGGTCTATTAGTCCAGTCTCTTAGCACCCTATTTTCTTGTTTGAAAAACTAATAATCTTATAAAATATTATGAACAACACAAGTAGTAATTTCATATCAAAAGGAAAGATCATGTGAAGTATGCTAGAGATGAATAGGGTGGCTCATAATGGACACTTTGGTATCCATCTCCATCATAGCATAAAAAGCCACTGAAGTTAGAGATCTCACTTTAAATACTGACATGGCCCACTCGGCAGTTCCTGCTGAGCCTTATTTATGCAGGAAACAGGAGTAATAATAATAATTAATGTGAATATTCCTAGAATGGCAAAGTAAAGACCTGAGCAAATCTACTTTCCCAAGACAAAATGAAACTTGACAGGTTTTCTAAAACAATAATTCAGGACTCTAGAAATCAACCAAAGCCCCACAACAAAGGAGTATTTATTTAAAACAAAAATTAAACAGGGCTGAAACTTTTGTAAGAATATTTACATGCCATGTTTGAACCTGGATTTACACTCATGATCTCTTTATCTACATTTTTGAATAATGCTACCAGAGAAAGACAGGCTGTGTTAACAAACACCTTCCCACCTGAAGTGGTCCTTAATTTAGGGCAAAGCATGCAGAAGTTCCATACCCATGGATATTGTTAGAAACAGTAGTAATCTTATAAGCAAATGAATAGGAAGACTAATAATACTGACGGTAACTAGAAGTTACAATCCCAGGTAGAGCAAAGAAAAGACCAAAAGAACCAGAAATGGAAATTTAACAGAAAGATGAGGAAAATAAGGCATGCAGAGCAGGCTGACTTCAAAGCAGTATAATCAGTGTGTCTGAAGAATCAAAAAGCTATGTTCAAGTAATAAAAGTATTGTGACAATGATACATTAAATAGAGGATCTCAATAAAAACATAGAAATCATTAAAAAAGTAAATCTAAAGGGAAAATCTAGATTCAGAAATAAGAATAGCTAAAGTGAGGGGTCCCTGGGGGGCTCAGTCCGTTAAGCGTCTACCTTCAGCTCAGGTCACGATCCTGGGGTCCTTGTGTCAAGCCCTGTGTCAGGCTCTCCCTGCTCGGCGGGGAGCCTGCTTCTCCTCCCTCTGACCCTCTACCTGATCCTGTGCTCTCTCTCTCAAATGAATAAAGTCTTTACAAAAAAATAGCAGAGGCGATACAGTCATGCGGGGCTTGATTCCAGGACCAATAAGGAGGATTTTATATGAACATATATAAGGGGAAGTGT